AATCTATATTAGGGTGCCCTTGTTCACGTGTCTTGCTAATGCAACTTGCTGTTAGGGACTTAGAGCTAATCTAGTAAATGGACTCCAGGTTCCCCTTACCCCCCTCCCCCACCGTCCAGTACTACATCCTCGCTACGCTTAGCAATAGCTTTTTTAGTAGCCGGACGTGACTACAGATGATTGCAAGCGTTTGAAAAAGGTATTTCAGAAGCAGCATTGTGACAGAGGGTAGATTTAGGTTACTGATTGCGGGAGTGGCATGCATGGACGTAGGTTTAATGGTATCTTTCCTGAATATTCCGTGTACTGTATACCGAATTGGAGCCACAGATATCACAGGCTTACACGACTTTGTGTGACAGGCTGTCTGCTGAACACATTTCTGCATAGAAAAGGGATGCCCATTATGGAAGTGGGCTGTCATTTTTAGTCTTCATAATCCTACGTTTTCACAACGAGATGCCCGATCGATCATAGTTTAGTTGGTTAGAGTGTTGGCCGCATTAAATCCGTTCCCTTTTTGGTGTGGGTTCGAATCCTACCAAAGCCGCCGAATTTTTCACATGCGGGTCAAATGTAACGCTCACCAATGCAATATCGGTGTTGATCAAGCATATTTCGTGTGATTTAAACAGTAGACAGCATCTCTAGTGCAGCACACAAACTGTGCACTTATCGTACGTCACCACGAGGCTCTCTTGTCGTTAGGATATGATTGATGGAGAAGGAAATGGCCGGATCGATGTTGTGCAAGCCTCCCCCGATGTAATCTAACCCCGACACAGATCACTGTATTCCGCGTAATAGTGGTGCTAGGCAACGTCGCCACAAACCGGATGACAAAGCTGTGTCCGTCCTCATATCGGACTTTTATTATTTATCAGAGACATATCTTAGTGAGGTTTGATTAATTTAAGAAAAATGGCTATCGCATTCGAGGTAAGCTCAAGACTGAAGCCATAGTCCTTTTCAGCCAGTGTGACCGATCCCGTTGGAAACCGAGATGACTTTCTGTTGCATGAGAAGTAGATGCAAGTTCTGCGCAAGGCTCCCTCACTATAATCCACGTGACGTCTACCTAGTCAGCCATGCACCTCTATAAATGGTTTGGAACAGTGCATGGCGGGATACTGGGCTCCCATGAAAGGTAACCAGATTGCGAGGTCTCTTTTTACTCTGCGTTTTTTGTGTGCCAAACCTTGTAGTTAAAAATATCTGCGTGTATGGAATCAGCTCCGTTTCAATCAAAGGATCAGAACTTACATCGTACCTTTGCGACAAGACTGATGCGCCTGTAAACCTACATCCCGGAGTTAGTTCCCAGTTGGTTCTTAAATTAGATAAGTTATAAGCAGGGCATGCATGTGTACGTTTATCTTGCGCATCTCCCGGCACTTCTCCTGCAGCTGTCGCGCGACGAAGCTTGTATCGGTGGTGCCACGATGACGACGAAAACCGCACTGCCTCTCTGGTAGGAGTCCTTGTTCCAGGTGATCATTGAGACGGTTTAGGAGAACACGAGCGAAGGTTTTGCCGGCGATATTGAGCAGCGACATTCCGCGATGAGTGTCACAGATTTGAGGGTTCCCTTTTCGTTTATACAGTTGGACAATTGTAGCTTCCTTGAAGCCCTGGGGGACTTGGCCTTGTTGCCACATCTCCTGGAAATGCCTGGTTAGGTGGGATATGAGTTGGTGGCCACCATATTTGTGAATCTCCGCAGGGGGTCACATCGGATCCGGATGCTTTCTCACTGGAGAGTTGCTGCACAGCCTTAATTGTTTTCTGAGGAGTGGGTAGGAGGTCAAGGTCAGCGTTGCTTTCCCCCTGAGGCAGATGGTTGATGGCAGCTTCGGATATGGTGCAGGGACGGTTGAGTACGCTTGGTAAGTGCACAGCAAAGCGTTGCAGTATCTTTCATCTCAGTGAATGGGATAGTTCCATCAGCGCTGAGAAGAGAATCTGTGCCTTTGACTGTAGACAGCCTTGATCGCAGCGAGGCAGTTCTTCCATTGCTCGCGGTTCGCGTAACCTTTGAGTTCCTCGCCCTTCCCTACTAATCTCACAGGTTGCATCTCCCCGACCTAGGTTGTGTTGATCCTCGCACGACAGGGTGAGTACAGTATAACGTGTGCTCTGCTTAATGCGGTGACATCCTTTTTTAATTTTAGTATATGCCGTCGGTATGACGAAATAACCAACAAGTTGAGTGAGACGCCGGCCACGACGCAAGACCTCGTGGCGCTCCAGGAGTACTGCAAGGAAGTCAGCAACAAAACAGTCTTCAAGCTGAAAGAAGAAGTGACCGAGGCGGCAATTCACCTTCGCTCCATTCTTGACTTTGCGTTTATGTCAGGTTTGTTTACGAGATCTGTTGCAATATTTTTTTTATCGTATATTTAACGATTACCTACAATGGGTCCATTGTCGTATACGAAGCAAAGTGCTAGTTTGATAAACCTACACTCCGGAGATTTCGTTTAAGATATATAGTGATAAAGGCTT